TTTCCGGTGCAATAACCAAATCCACAAAATCGGACTTTCTGGCTTAGGATTTGGGTCCAGCTGGGCTCCTTCGAGCGGTGCTTTAACCAAAACCACATCGTTTTTGACCCCTTCAAACCCTTCTTGGGGCGGTGCTAAAACCAAAGCTGCGTCCTTTTAGAGCCTTTTCGGGTGGTGCATTAACCAAAACCGCGATTGTCCTGGCCTTGGCCCTTCCCACCACGAGCTACCCTGACCTCTTTAAAGACGGGCTGGAAGGCTGTTGCCTCGGAGGGACACAGGCCGGTGGCGAGCGAAGGAAGATAAGCAGGTAACAAGTTCAATGATAAGGGATTCTGGGAGGATGGGTGGGGTGATACCAAATACGTATAGTGATCTAAGAAGCCTTGCTAGCTTCCAGCTCTAGCCAATCGTGATCATGAACCCTAATTAACCCTAATAAACCTGAAATAATTGGGCCCGAGATCGCGAGAGAGAGAGAGCGGGAGAGACCCTAGACTTTCTTTCTCTCTTCTCTCTCTTTCTCTCCACAACTTTTATAAGGGCACAGAGGCAGGCGGGGGGCGGGAGGTGGTTTTGTTAATTTTCCCCATTTGTTCAGTTCAGGGGTTGAGGTTCAGGGTCTTGTAGGGTGTTTTGGAAGGTGTGTTCTTGAGGATGGCAGGTGTTGAGGCAGGCTGGGGCCGGATTAGGTCAGGTCAAATATTCTGTTTTTCCCCCCTCTCTCTGGCTCCCACACTCTCTCTCTCTCATATAGTTGGGATCTGTCGTACTGTAGACACGGCATGGCTGCTTGCAGCTTATATAGGCACAAGGTGCCTTGGCACGGTCCCTTGCGTTTTTGAATGTCCGGGATGGCGTCCGCTAACCGTCCCCAAGAAGAGCACCTCCCAGTGTACCTGAGTAAGCAGCGAGCGCGGCTGCTCTTGCAGCTTGGGGCGCCTCTGGTTTTGTTCCTGGTCCCAATTCTAGTCTGCTTACCGCTGTAGCTACACAGTGCGAAGGTCTGGATTTTGATTAGTTGCCCTTGTGACTGTTGGGTTTCGTTTGCTCAGGCTGCAGCTCTGTGACTATGTGACACAGACCAATTTGATTGGCGTGGGTGATCACGAGGACAAGGGGGGCCACAGTACGTGGGTTCGCAACTTGGATGGCCTGGAGCTCTACAGCGGGAGCTGCATGCTCTCACACGAGATGCGTAGGAATAACATGAGAACGCAACTGGGGCAGCAGATACTCCATAATCCCTTTAGCTGGAGTAGCGTTGTGATCCCAAGCAGCGTGCCATCAATGATGTTGGCATGTATGAAGGCAAACTTACGATATAATGCTGCGATCAAGCAGCAACGATATCCTTGGGAGCCTTGGAATGGTAGTTGCAGCAACTTTGCTTAATCAAGCGGTTCTGTTCCGGGAACGTACGTCATAGCATAAGGAACCTGTGCCCGAAAAACCTTTCATCACTGCCTCAGCTTCAGGTCCGGGATGTGATGAGGTTGAAAGCGCACACATCACTTCTATGGGCCGGAGTGCCTTGTGGACTGTCCCTTGCTGGCTTGTAGTGCTCCGTATATTGCAAATGACCGGACGTAAATGTTGGGGCCTAATTATACCATAACCCAGGTGGATATTCATGGCCAGCTCTGTTCATCGACGCTGCCGTGAAAATGTTTCTGGTAATGTGGAGAGCAAGGCTGTACGCCAGGCCAACACGATTGCTGTGCGCACAGCATTGCTGTTGCTTTTAGCAACAGTTCTGGATATTCCGTGGGCAGTTCTTTGGCTGCTTCTAGACACTCCAGGGAATTCTGGTAGTCAAGTGTTCGGAATTGCTGTTCACAGTCATTCCTTAGCGTTGAGCGCATGGGTTTAATAATATATATGGTCGAAACGTAGATGCGTTCGAGACTCACCAATATCACCAAATTACTCTCCCAGAGTTTCCCCGAAGATCCCTAGTGAGGGCTCTTGCAATTGGGCTTGTAAAAGGCGTACATGGAAGGCCGGGGAGACTTTACTTGATTCGTAGTGCCTATTTGCCGCGTACATAACAAACCTAGCTCATAATCCCATTTATTATATCCTACAGCCAGGTTACTCAAGTAGTTGCAGCCCACATCCAAGGTAGAGCAGCCAGGATCATCGTGCCTCTACTACTTTGATGCAATCAGGTATGTGGCGTTACTTGCTAAGAAGGCCTTCTTTCGCCGATTTCCCTTGGGTGCTTATGGCCACTTCTCTATCAAGCCAACGTGGTAGCTCGGTCCTGTATTGCTGAAGTAAGTTTATAGAGCTTTTGGGGATGAGTCCTATAAACACAACACCTTGCCTTATTGGGAAATAAGGTTCATAGCGTTCAAGGCTTAGGGTTCAGGGTTTGGAAGTCGCCGTTTTCATTTACATGCAGTGCAGGAGCAACCTTAACCTTGGGGCTCCAAATGGCCCAATGTGGGTACTATTTGTAGACATTGGGGCCCAATGTAGGGAATATTTATAGACATGCAGCCCCAGGGTGAACCTAGAGAACCCATTGACCTTAATTATAATTACCCCCCAAGCCCTATGCTAGTATAGCGATCACATGCGCTGACCTGCCCGAAAAATGAAAAATCACTACACCCTATAAACCTTTTGTGCTATCAGACCTTGCTACTGATGAGGCTCCTTGGCACATCCGAGATTATCAACCGCTTCACCAAGAGCATGACAAAACAAGCCAGGGAGAAGATGCGCAAGGAACAGGAAAGGTTGGGGATTCAGTTGGTCAAGAAGACGCGCAAGAATGGTAAAGTTCGAGTCAGCGGGGCCCCCGCCTTGAAATGGTCTTCGCATTATCCAGCAAGATTTTGCTCCCAAGTGGTGGAATATCTCCGAACCCCCCCAGAAGAAACTTGGCTGAATCAGAAGGACAGTGCTAACACAAGTCAATCAAAGGCTAATAATATAGGGGCCTAAATAGTTACCAGTATTATGGTTCCGTATTCCTTGTATGATATGGTTATAGTCTATAGTACCTCAAATAGACTTCAACATTAAATTGGTAGCTATTTAGGCCCCTATATATTAACCATACCCTGTGGCCCCATGTAAATACGATCTACTTCGGGCCCGAAAGTCTACCTATACTCTGGGCCATCTGGAACTTCTGGGATAGGGAAGTGGTGGCAATTGGAAAGGTCCATCGAAAGTGTAGAGTCTAAAGCTGATCTGTTCTTTTAGTCCCAAGGTCTACGGTGGATGGAGGAAATCTTGCGCAGCTAAGTTCTCAGATTAATTAAGTAGTATCCCGCGAAAACATATGCCACGTACCATTAATGCGGTCATGTATACATATAGGGTGGTGCAAGATTCCCTCCATCCCCCGTATCTGAATCCCCAAATGTATGTAGGAATGCCTCCACCCACTAGTGGTACATATAGGGGTATGTAGAGACCCGAATATAACAGCAACCATTATCTTTTGTGGCCACGCCCGCCCAGTGCCCGAAATAGTGCCCGAAATAATGCCCGAGCCCTGCGTAGTGCCCAAATCATTTTAGGAAGAAGGATTTCTATGTTTTTTAGCAGACATGTATTTGGGCACTATGAAGGGGTGGACCGGGCATTATTTACGGCATTTCGGGTTCTATTCGGGCTCTACCAAGGTTCTACCAGGCTAAGTGGTGGTGGCCTAACCTATAAGGAATTGGTGGGCTTTACAAGCGACAAGAAATTCAGAAAGGTAGACGAGCAGGGCGGGAGGCTCATTAGTGCTTCATTCTGGCGGCTCATATGGGCTAGGCTTGAAAGGACAATATTTTTGTAGCGCCGTTTGAGAAATGATTTAAGGGGATTGGGGCCCGACAAATTCTTGAT